TCCCCCCTCCCTCCGCTCCCCTACTCCGTCGCTTCCCGCTCCCTCCGCTGCTGACTGGCCTGTCCAGTTGCCTCTGCGACGCGATTCCGAAACTGAATCAATTACGTAATCGATTCAATTTCAGAATCGCGTCGTGTGGGCGGAAAAAACAACAAAACCCTCCTGAAAATCTGAAACAAATATATGCTGTGCAGCATCTCCGTACAAGAAAAAAAATATTTGCCTTAGCACCAAAACGAAATTCGTATTCAAAACGTGAAAAAAAAAAAACAGAATGGAAATTATACAACGCCCTATTCGGATGCTTTATTTTTGTTCCACATTTTTAATAAAAATTTTGTGATGGTGCTCAGGCAACTACTTGTATGGAGATCCTGCACAACAAATATGTTTTTCAGATTTTTTGAGGAGAGTTTTTTTTTTTGTGTTCGTCTTTTCAGCCCTCACGAAAAATCGAATCAATTTGGGGCGGAAAAAAAAAGAAAGAACTGAAAAATCTGCCAACCAATAATGTTGTGCAGCATCTCTGTACGAGGAACATTTGCCTGAGCACCATGACATAATTCTTATTCATGACGTGGAAAAAATATGCAATGAAAAACAACCAACCTGGATATTGGATAGGAGTCATCGGTCGTTTGTACTACAGACTTTGTAGGTTTTTTGTTTCAAACTTTAAATAGTTTTGTTTGTTTTTCATTTTTATGTTTATACCAGAACTTACCACGTTTTTCATTTTTAAGTTTTATGTTTTAAAAATTTATGTTTTGAATAAGAGTTTCGTGATGGTGCTCCGACAGCTTTTTCTTGTTGGGAGATGCTGCAAAAACCTAGGCTACCAGCCGGGCCGCCCGGGTCCCGGGTGGCCAGCCCGTGCAAGGATCAGGTAAGGTCCCAGCAAAAAAAAAAAACAAAAAAAAAACAAATCCAAAACTTCTGAAACAAAAACAAATCCAAAAATTCTGAAAAAAAACTATGTTATGCAGAAAAATATACTGAACAACGTTTGCCTCAGGGTCACATCGAAATTCTTCACCACATTTAAAATAAAAAATAAAAGTCAAAAATATTTTATTTATTTTTATTTGTTTTTAATTATTTTGGCCCGGCCGGGCAAGTGACCCCGGGCCACTCTGGTAGCCTAGGCAAAAACATAATTTTTTTCGGTGTTTTTTTTTTTTTTTTTTTTTTTTTTGTCCTGCTCGCATGATGGGATTACATAATTGATTGGATTGTGCAATTGACTCAATTGCACAATCAGATTGATTACGTAATGGAGGAGAGCGATGTGCGATGGCTGAGGGCGGTGGGTGATGGAGGAGGGAAGAGGGGGGGAATCGGCGGAGGGCGGGAGTGGCGGAGAGAGGGAAACGGAGGAAAATAGTTCTTGTTGTATATTTTTGTTGAAATTTTTGTGACGTTGGCCAATGCATGTCTTGTGTGAGAGCCTTGAAAAACTAGTTAAAAAAAAAACTCTCGTAAAGTTTTTGAATCAAGTCCAGTTTTCACAAAATGTCTA